ATCTTCTCCTAATTTTATAAAATCTTTCGATTCTAAATTTTTTTAATGTACTTTTTGAATTACGACAAACTAAAGAGTCCTTCCTTATTGACTTTGATCTTAGACATACCTGAGTTGAGTTTTGTGGCAGTAATGACAGAGTAGCCACCCTCGAGAAGTCGATTGAAGAGACACCAACCCTGTAAATCTAGTGCCTCCTATTACTCAAACTTCCATCTCTCTGCACAGTTTGAAGAACTAAGAGATAATGTTTAAGATTTATGGCTACTTTTAGTGTACCTCGTACATTTGTGATAAGGTTTCTAACTGACTAAAGGACAAGCAATCTTAAAAATGATGGTCCCATGAAATGGGAAGTTTTTCATTTATCAGATATCATGTGGAGGCTATGTTTTTTCTCAACTCAACTCCATTTTCTCTTTCTCCCATCGTTTTGTCATTTTTCCAAATGGATAATCTGATTTTCACGAGTGTAAATTAAAGCTATATAGATGGATTAAAGCGAGTGATAATACTAACCAAAATAATTGGTTTTATTATAGAAAATTACAAAAAAAAAGTATATATATATATATATATATAAAATTTTGATATCCACAAAATTTAATGAAAAATTTCGTAGAGATGTAAAAGGAAATCGAATGCCAAGACAAAAGAACTCTCAATCCCCACCCCAATAACATCTTTAATGCTCTTAAAGATTTATTACTTTCAAAAGATTAGACAATGTAACAGGGTCACTGCTAGTAGATATTGTCCTGTATGACCCGTTATGTATCGCTGGCAGTCTCATGATTTTAAAACGCGTATACCAGGGAGAGCTTTCCACACTCTTATAAGGAATGCTTCATTCCGCTCTCCAACTGAAGTGGAATCTCACATACAACGTCTTGAAATTGCATCTCAACATCAATTAGCTAAGAGAAACATTAGAAGAGTAGATCAACTCTTTGCCTCTTCTTGCAATCATGAGGTCTCATTAATTATGTTTCTATGTTGACTACTTATCCTTTGTTTCATACAAGTAATCTTTCTCTTTGTAGCTTTCGATTGCTCCTGTAACGGCCCAGGTCCACCGCTAGCAAATATTGTTCTCTTTGGGCCTTCCCTTTCGAGCTTCCCCTCAAGACTTTAAAACGCGTATGCTAGAAGAAGGTTTCCACACCCTTATAAAGGGTGGTTTGTTCTCCTCCCTAACCAATGTGGGACATCACAATCCACCCCCTTCGAGGTCTAGCGTCCCTACTGGCTCTCATTCCTTTCTCCAATCGATGTGGGACCTCCACCAAATCCACCCCCTTTGGGGCCCAGCATCCTTAATGGCACACCGCCTCATGTCTGGCTCTCATTCCTTTCTCCAATCGATGTGGGACCTCCACCAAATCCACCCCCTTTGGGGCCCAGCATCCTTAATGGCACACCGCCTCATGTCTACCCTCCTTCGGGGAACAGCGAGAAGGTTGACACATCATTCGGTGTCTGGCTCTGATACCATTTGTACCGGCCCAGGTCCACCACTAGCAGATATTGTCCTCTTTGGGCTTTCCCTTTCGGGCTTCCCCTCAAAACTTTAAAACGCGTCTGCAAGAAGGTTTCCACACCCTTACAAAGGGTGGTTTGTTCTCCTCCCCAACCAATGTGGGACATCACAATCCACCCATGTGCACCGGCCCAGGTCCACCGCTAGCAAATATTGTCCTTTTTGGGCTTTCCCTTTCGGGCTTCCTCTCAAGACTTTAAAACGCCTCTGCTAGAAGAAGGTTTCCACACCCTTATAAAAGGTTGGTTTGTTCTCCTCCCCAACCAATGTGGGACATCACAATCCACCCCCTTCGAGGCCCAGTGTCACGGTCATGCTCGTCCAGGGCATGTCGCCCATGGCCGCATGCCCATGACAAGCCAAACCCTTGTCATGTCTTTTCATTCTAGTGTTTTTCCTTTTGTAATTCTAAGGCGTATGACGCCTCAAAAATATCATGTCTAGGCCTGCCACAGAATGTACTATAGGGGGATATGACTAGTTGTCAACTTCTCCCTACCCAAGGTTATATATGTTAAGCCGTTGTTATCTTTCTCTTGCTTGCTTATATAACGTCTCTTTCCAAAATCTCTCTTTCTAAAATCTCTCTCTCTCCTCGTTTTCTAAAACCTTCTTTTAAAACCGAGGCTAGAGGCTCGATCGTACGTCGCTTGGCCATAGGTGACGCAAGAACAAATTGACTTAAGCTCACTTGTCGCTGAAAAGTGAGTGCCGCACAATCGCTAGTCCGCTGCCTTCGAAAGCGCGATTGTGTCACCCAGCATCCTCGCTGGCACTCGTTCCTTTCTCCAATCGATGTGGGACCCCACTAATTTTTTTTTTTTTTGGAGCAAAAGACAAGTAAATGTCCAAAGACATTCAATGTAAATACAAAATGAACATATATACTTATATAAGTAAATGAATTATGAGATTACAAAAGAGGGAAAGAGCTGAAGAATATTTTCCAAGGAAACATCATGACCTGCAACAAAAACGCTTTCAATGCAGCCATTTCATATGAATTTGTATTACAAGCAAAAGAAAATATGAGAGGGAAAGGATGGCTGCCTAACTCACCGCTCACTTTTTCATGGTTAAGTTTAGGGCATGGCTCCAGAGAAGGAGTCGAGCCTTGATTAAGGGGAGGTTGTTCGAGAGCTCCATAAGCCTTAAAGGAGGCTTCTAATGTACTTTGTTCGAGGGGAGGATTGATGAGGATTATTATTGGGAGTGAGTCCCACATTAGCTAATTTAGTGAAAGATCATGGGTTTATAAGTGATGAATACTATCTCCATTGGTATGAGGCCTTTTGGGGAAGCCCAAAGCAAAGGCATGACAGCTTATGCTCAAAGTGGACAATATCATACCATTGTAGAGGGTTGTGATTTCTAACAGTTCCATCAAATATTTCTTCGATACAATACTTGTATGGAAAACAAGCATACAAAAGCTTCATCGATGCGACATTACTGAATATGTAGCCTTTAGTATCTTTCAAAGACCTGTAGCCAAACCAGTTGTGTTTGTTCAATCTCTCGACTTCAAATAAATAACTAACTCACAAACACAATATGATGCTCCCAAGTCTAAGATTTTAGTAAGTGAATGAATATTCAAACATCAAACAACTTCTTAGCTTAACGACCTATTTGGATCGACTTCCTAAATTCCATCAAAATCAATCAAATGGGCATCTCATAACAACGTGCAAGCATTGGTATTAACAACTTGCACTAAACATTAACATAATCTAACGTTATGAGACATAATTCAAACGTTCAGTAGTTCAGTAATTGAAACTTTTAAGAAGTTTGAGGATTTTAAAGGGATACGATGCTCAAAAGAAGTTCGAAAACAACTTATAATTTAAAAAAGATCCAGTGAACTATTTTGTTCCTTCAATTGTTCTTCTCGTCGACACTTTAACGGCTTCTTTGTCATCTAGATCAATTGGGGTAGCAAGATGAAAATATCACAACCCAATTTTTGAGGTTACGAGAAATTGGACTACAATGAAAAGACGAAATCAGACACAAATAAAACAAAACATGGAAAAGGTAGAAAAACGGTAAAGTATCGCACAGTTTAAAAGACATATACTTCAAAAAAAAAGAAAAAAAAAATTGAATTCTTAGTTAAAATTCAAAAACAAAATTAAGTTTTTACTTCCAGTCCTTGAGGTCAATTTAGTTGAACTTAAGTCTCTCAATTTTCAAACTCGAACATTTTCGAGTTTGGAACAATCTTGCTTTTGGCTCATACCATTAATACCTTTGGCTATTTTGTAAACTTTGGATATATTGGGCTAAATAAATCATATTTATTATTACTTTTTTCCTCTTCTTCCTCTATACATGTTTTCTCAGCCCTCTGTCTAGCTTGTGTTGACATATCTCTGACACTAATTTGAAACATTCTTTGGCTCTGATCTGTCTAGCCAGCCAACACTGATTTGGAATGTTTTCGTTCCATATTTTCCAGATCTAAGAAATCTGAAAAAAAAAAATTGTTTTTCTTTTTCCGGGTTTGTGATCTACCAGCTCACTGCTGAACGCCAACATTTGTGGGTTCGTGGTAGAATCGCAGTTGCATGTATGCATGGATGAGTCACAATAATTGGTTTTTAGAGAATGTCTACCACCCTAAAGAACATGATTTGTTTCACCTAAAACAAAAATCTTACTTCTCTTTGGATGGGTGGCTGGATAAAATAAATAGCATCCATCCATGGCAATACTTGCCTTCTTGAAAAGGTCTTCCATAACCGCAGTAAAAGATGAATTTACATGACTTTTACCAATATAAAAAGATATAGGTATTAACTAAATCACTAGGCATTATGTAAAATTATAATTATAATTAAGGCATAGATATAATTAAAATAATTAAAGTCATTCATTCAACATTCCCTCAACGTTCCCCCACAGCTATGAATGACGTAATTAAGGTACAACACTCCCCCACAAGCTGTGAATAGATGTCATCCATTCCCAGCTTGACTGGATAGGATTATGTGCAATATTGATCGCACGACTTTAACGTCAAGTTATGACATCAACGGTAGCTGCAATGGCTCCAAATAAATTTGGTCAAGGTGGAAGATCGGTAACTATGAAGACTTTGAATAAATTTGGTCAAGTGGAAAATCGATAGCTATAAAGGCAATTTCATCAAGGTGGTAGATTGGTAGCCCTCAGAATAAATTTGGTCACCGTGGAAGATGCTACACCTATTAATCACACCTCGGGACCATGTGGAAGTGTAAATCATTTCTTCATACCATTTATAATTAAAAAAAAAAAAAAAAAGAGAGCTAGGTAACAATTTAACTACCTAGATATTAGGAAATAATATAAGTACATGGTACAAATATAAAACCATACAAAAAATATATCTAACTAAATCAGTAACAATATAGTTATAACTAAGACTAAGATCTAGATAGATATGATTGAAGTCAATGAGGCATCATAAACAAAGACAAACGGGTAATTGAAAATATTGAAAAAGGCAGCAGGTACAGAGTTTAGGGTGTATATAGAACAACGATTTCAAATAATGAAAAATATTGGAACAGAATTTAGAATGGCACATACCACATTCCCGAATAATTTATGACTATATTTCATAGAAATCTAGTTGCTTTACGCTCTAGTAATAAAAGTTTCATTTCACATATAGAATGAGGAATAATACAATTTCGAAGAACACACCTTCCAAGGCTTTGAATCCTCCGAATTGGCTGCTCCTACCATTTCGTACAATAGTCCAGAGAAAAGCTCAGCTATATGCATAAGAATGAATTGCCAATATCGTCTACCATCGACAATGAAATCAGCAACTAAGTTTTATTGTTGAGGATTTTTGGGAGAGAAGTCTCACATTGGCTAATTAAAAGGTTGATCGTGGGTTTATAAGTAAGTAATACATCTCTATTGATATGAAGTCTTTTGGGGAAACCAAAAGTAAAGTCATTAAAGCTTATGCTCAAAGTGGACAATATCATACCATTGTGGAGGGCCGTGATTCCTAACATGTTTTTTTTCACTTTCTTATCCCTTCTTTTTTTTTTTCTTCTCTCTTCCCTTCTTCCCCATTGTCATAAAAAAAATGTACCATGTTTTAAATATGAACGAAAAAGAATCACTGTGAATTGACGGAGAAAGCCCCCTTCAGTTCATACCCAAAAGAAGGCGATTTCCCTTCGCAAATAACTAAAGAATGGACCAAAAATACTTCCAAATGAAAATTTTAAAGGTGAAATTATTGAGTTTGAAAACTCATGCATCTAAATGCCATTACTAAAATAGACATTAATGACCAACTTTGGGTCTAAGAATACTAATTAATCCAATCCCATAAACACACAGAACCAAGACATGCCCTTAAAAGAGTGGTAACCTCTGAGGAGCTGTAATGCAAATTACATAACACTTGTATGCCAACAGAAGCCAGCATTCGAACATATATATATATATATATATATATATATATATATATTCAGAAGATAACAGACTGGTAAACAGAAATAGATACCACTTCCTTGAGAAAGACAATTGTAACATACATATCTTATACGGGCTAAAGCCTAGAAGAACTAACCACATCAAATTATTGGCCTCTTTTTGCAATCATGAGGAGCTTTTATTAATACCGTTCCATGCTTACTACTTATTTGTTTCATGGAGATAACCCTTCTCTTTGCAGCTTTGGATTGCTCCATCAAACATTTCTTCAATACCATATTTGTATTGGAAACCAGCATCCAAAAGCTTCTTTGAAGAGACATCACTGAATAGGTAGCCTTTGACATCTTTCAAAGACCTGCAGTCGAATCAGTTGTATTTATTTAATCCCCAAACTTCAAATAAACAACTTTGTCTTACTTCGAACCTTTAAAGTCCATCTTGTGAAATTGATAATGATGACGATGTAATATGCTTAATGGAAAATTCTTGCATGATTTGATAAATAAATGATAAAAAAGAAGTGAACAGTTAAACAAAAAGGTCTATAAAAGAGATTTGATTTGTTGTTTCAAAATAGGGGCATATTGTATACCAAACTTCATTTTGACTGAGTATCAACTTTCTTCTATCATCTACCAATCAAATTGGGCCAAACCAATCAATATTTATCCAATAAGCATATACGGAAGGGCTACATAGAATCACAAATTCAAAAAAATTATAAATAAACACCACGATCATTAACCTTGTTAAGACCCCATTTGATAGCCAAATTCCAAACAAACAAAAAAAATCAAGTTTTTTAGAACTATTTTTTAGTTTCCAATACTTGGATTGGATTTTGAAAACATGTCTAAAAAGAGGACAATAAAATAACAGAATCAACATGTAGAAGTAATGTTTTTAAACCTAATTTTCAAAAAACCAAAAATAAAAAATCAAATGATTATCGAAGGCTAAATTTGCAATATTACTAAGAGAAAAGATTCTGTAATGATAATGGGAAACTAATATGCAGTGGAACTCACTCAGAAGATGGTATCTGAAATTCTGGGTACTTGGCAGAAAAGAGATTAACCAATTCTTCCAATGTGATTATGTGGGAAGAGCAAACATATCGCCCGTTTGCATTTGGATGTTCAAAGAGAAAAATGTGTGCTCTTGCCACATCATCTACATGCACCATGTTTGATTTTAAGATCAATCCATAATCTGCTTTATTACCTGCACAAGTTTCATGTTTAATATCACTTTGGAACTAAGTCATAAACAGAGTGTAATTTACTAATTTCCAATCATCTGCAAAAGAAGCTAGAGGGCTCACATTGATGCTACTCAAGTTCGAAATTCAGAAAGGGAATAAAATATTTAAACATCACGCAACTTCCTAGCTTAACGGCCTATTTGGATTGACTTTCCAAGTGCTTACAAAAGCTTTGTTAAGTGTAAAACAAGTGTTTAGAACACTACGAAAGTCAATCCATAATGGCCCTAAATTAGAGCATAATTCCATGGAGTCGTATGGACCATGAACTCAGTCAGCTCATAATATCATTATAGCTATTGCCAAAGAACAGAGATAAAAGAGGTATCCCAAGCAAAATGAAGATAGGAAATGTTTCCTATAATTAAAATTTGCACTAAATTGAAATTTTAGTTCTTAAAATCTTGAAACTTGAGTCTGTATAGTCTCTAAACTTTAAAAGTTCAAATTGAATTACAGTCTATGTAGTCCTTATCATTTATACCATCCCCAAAATAATGACATAGCATTGCATGCTCATTAACTTATTCAACTATATGTTACATCAGCCAATTCAATCAAAATCGATCAAATGGGCATGTCATAATAACATTCAGTCATTCGTATTAATGGCTTGCACTAAACAAAAACATAATGTTTAACTTCTGAGACGTAATTCAAATGTTCTGTAATTGGACCCTATAAGAGGTTGAGGATTAAAAAGGAAACAATGCTCAAAAGTTCAAAAACAATATATAATTTTATAGAGATCAAATGCCAAATATGTCTCTAGCAATAAGATTCAGTAAAACTTAGGCATCTGCCTACTCTTCACTGAAGATTCCAAGTCGACGTGCAAAGTGCAAGATGCATTCAACGAGCATAAGATACTTTAAACATTAAAAAAAAGTACCTGACATCAAAGACGTTGTCACACGAATAGAGTCAGGAAGTCTAGGACAAATGAAGGGACCAACAACATAAGTTGGAAGGACAGTGACAACTTCCAATCCGTATTGTTGAGAGAACTCAAGAACTGCTCGCTCAGTTAATGTCTTAGAAATCGGGTATGATCTTCCAAATGGTGCAATACTATTGATGTAATCAATGTCACTCCAACAACTTTCATCCAAAAAGTCTACTGTGTGGTGATTAAACTGCATGGTGGCTGCCGCGGAAGTGTATACAACTCGCCTGACCGTTTTTGAATCTAGACAAACTTTAAGGATGCCCAGTGTTCCTTCAATCGTTCTTCTAGTCAACACTTCCACACCTTCTTTGTCACTCGCATCAATTGGGGTAGCAAGATGAAAGACTCCAATGCAACCTGCAATGGCAGGAGCAAAACTATTCGGTTCGTCGAGATCAGCATGGTATATTTGGAGTTTTTCTGATGCTCCGGGTAGACTTGTCAAGAATCCATAGTCCTTTCTCATCTCTGCGCCGTATTAAAATGTAAACAAATTTAGATGAGGAAAGCCGAGTTACACAATTGATCGATTTGGAAATTAAAATGTAAACAAGTTTACATACAGAAAACTAGTTAGAAAAGTATTGCACAAGCTTATACCTCTTATAATATAATCAATAACGATTTAGTTATTGGTGGTTTGTTTTATAAATTCATACTTGTTCAATGGAAACTTCATTTGTAGTTGGATCTACTTCTTAAAATCCTTAATGAATTCCAAAAACTTAAAAGCAGAAAGAAGAAACAAAATTATTAACACCGAGTCTTCGATGGCAAGGGTATAATATAGTAACCAATCCACTTGAACTTCGCGGCAGCTTAATATGGATCTAAAGAGCCAAAGACACTGCGCTTAAATAGCAGTCAAGTGATCAACTCTCATAGTAATTTCATCAAACACCTAGCATGCAAACCTCAAAAGAAGTAAAAAAAAAGTGAAATCCAGTAAAGAATTCATATAACATTCAAATGACTCAAGTACAGAATTGGAAAGAGATTATCCTTTACGATCCAAGAAGCTGATCTCGAAGTCAACCATGCAAAGCCAAGAAATCAAAACAGAGACCAAAAATGGAAAGGAGAAAGGGGTCTTGTTTACCTGGGTCGGCTCTAACAGTGGTGGTTACAGAGTAGCCCTTCTCGAGAAGGCTCTTGATCAGCCATGACGCTATAAATCCAGTGCCTCCTGTTACACACACCTTCCCCTTTGCGCCATTTTCCATTTCTCTCGATTTCTGCCCTTTCCAGAAACGATTTGTAAAGGTTGCAACCCCACGCAATTGTTTATATCAGGAAATAAATTAATACCCATTTCATGTGTTCATCACACTTTTAGAAATATTGGGATTTTACCTAACTTTCTATCGTAATGGAGAATTTCCAATTCTCGCTTCTACCAATAAAAAGAGAAATATAACCGTTGACTTGAAAGTTATTATCAACAATAACGACCAATCTTTAACCTTTTAGTCAAAACTTTTGACTAAAGATCATAGTTTAAATAATTCTTAATTTTGATTATTGTACTAATATAATTTTATTATATTTATTTATTTAAAAATAATTATTAAAATTATTCGCGTAAAGCATATTATTCTTAATATATTTATTAATAAATGAAAACGAAAATTAAATTAATTTAATAATTTAACTAAAGAATAACAATTATTTTTTTAATTTTTATAATATTTATTAATAAATTAAACTTAAACTTAAACTTAAATTAGATGAGTAATTTGACGTAATAAAAACAAATTAGCTATTAACAATTAATTTTCTAAAGTTAACTAATATAAAATAAGATTACTATTTGTTGGTATGAAATTATTATAGATATATTTATATAAAAAAGATTTTGAATTTTTTTTTTTAATCGATTAAAAAATACATTTTCGAACTTTCAAGAATATACGTGGAGCTCTCGCGAAGTTAGCCGTGGTATATAAAGTAAAAAGCCCGCAAGATCCTCAACGGCCACTTGCGAAGAACCTCGGCTTTTCTGGTTTCTTCTTTACATTTCTACCTGTTCTCGGCTTCCTCAATCCCTCAAGAATTAACAGGTAATTCCAATTTTCTCGTTCTTCATTTTTCCTAGCAGACTGTAGTAACGGAACAAATCGTTCAATGTTTCTTGATTTGGTTCATTGCTGACTTAATTTGGCTGAGGATGGAGATTAGTACTAGTTTATCTTTTTCTCGATTTTCAAATTTATGTTGTGTTTTTGGGATCGGAGTCTCGAAATTACTATTTATTGCTGGAATTATCAAGAATCTGAACGGGATGGAAATGTGGTGCACGGATGCTGTGTCTTTTCCCATTTGAATGAGGTTTTGAGTTGATTATTGTAGCTCTTGGCTTCTTACCTGTTGCTGTTATTGTTTTTAAGTTTAACGAAATCAGAGAGATTGGTGTATTTCATTCATATCTTTTTTCATCCCACTCAACTGTGTTATTGGCATGCATGTTCATTACTAAACTTTGCCACTGTGGACTGTTTTCTTTTTTGTTGGAGCTTCTCTAAATTTCTATTTGTTCACAGAAATTAGCAGATATAATATGCAGCAAAGGGGAGGAGCAGAAGGGAAGGACTCGCTTTTCTCAAGCGACTTCATGGGTGGTTTCCCTGGATTTGGTTTATTTGGATCCCACAGAAGTATGATGTCTAGCCTTTTTGGGGAGAGGGATCCATTTGATGATCCTTTCTTTACTCGCCCTTTCAATAGCATGCTTGAGCCGAGTGTATCCAATTCCCATGCTGCTGCATATGATAAGGAGAAGAAAGATAGGGCACAGGGACTTGTGATTCAAGAAATCTCATCTGATGAGGAGAGGGAGGTAGATGACGATCTTGTGAACCAGAAACAGGACAAGAATGAGAATAGTTATGGGTCAGACAAGGAGCCATCAGTTGAGCATCCTGATGATCCTAATGATGGTAATTGAGCTGTGATTTTGATGTTCTTTGGTTACGTGAACTGTGTTATTCAAAATTTACCATGCTTCAATCATTTTATTGTTTGATGTTCTAGAGCGCCAGATAATAACTCGTAGAGGTAGTGAAGATAATAGTTTTGGAGCTCAGCCAAAGGCTAGTAAGTCCAGTATGCATACTTGCAAAGTCACATATGGCGGTGTAGATGGAGCATATTACACTTCTACTAGAACTAGAAGGGTAGATAATGAGGGAGTAAGTCAAATTCTTCTGGAATGACTGTAAACTTTATGCATAAAGTACTGGGTTTTGATAGCAGGTTTTATGAATCAGGTATTGCTTGAAGAGACGAAAGAAGCCGATAAGACAACAGGTCAGGCCACTCATAGGATCTCTAGAGGAATTCATGATAAGGTATAGATTGATAATGGAACTCTGATACTTCAAGGACTGATAGATTGTTTGACTTCACCATGTCTTGTCCTTGATTATCTTTAATGATGGCTTGACATTGAATTCATGTAAACCTAGGAAATTCTCAAAACCTAGTCTGAAATTGTTTTTCCCTTCAAGTTTTCTTCTCGTTTCATATAAGTTTTAAGTGGTCCTTTTGTCAGTATTGTGAACCATGTATCTAATACAAATAGCTGCTTGAAATGAAAGACTTTGGTTCTTTTCTGAAAAGGGGACAGTATTTGGTGCAGTCGGACTCCATTAGTGTCGTTATTATATGTGTAATTTTAAATTTGTGCCCAATAAGTGAAAATTGTTTCTTATTATATTTGTAATCCAATCGTTTCCATTAAGAGCGGCAGGGTTATATTTTTCCAATTTGTATGTGATGCAGTGTGTTACATGCTTCATTTTCACATCATTTTCTGTGTATTTCTTTCCGATATTCGTTTGTAGCCTCCATTGCTTGAGATATGAAGTTGAATTAGAAAGCTGGGTACTAAACCAATTGCTTTACCTCTGCAGGGTCATTCAGTTACAAGGAAGCTGAACCCAGATGGTAAAGTGGACGTACTTCAGACTCTGCACAATCTGAATGAAGGTCTACTCTGTCTGTTCAACCATAATTAATGATTATCTGGTTTTTTTCATGTTAAAGCTATAACACTGTGTCGCAATACTTTTCATACAGAAGAACTTGCTGGCTTTGAAAAAGCATGGAAAGGTAATTTTCAAGGGCATCAAAATGTTCCAAAAGGTGGATTTCATATGGATCCCAGTGCAGGTAATCTGATTATTTGCTTTTCCAAAAGCATCTTTCTCATCCACTCTAACCCCATTTTGAACATCATATCCTCCATTCCAATACAAAGGAGAGAGTTTCTTTCTTAAATAAGTATGCCTGCCGAGTAGTTCGGTTTGGTTAGGTTGGTAACCTCTCAATACACAAATAGAGAAAAGAAATTTCACAGACGACCTGTGCATCCTCATCACCTCTGAGATGAAGTATATATTATACATGTTCTGCTGTTTTTTCCCAAGACATTCTCTGCAAAATATCCTTTTGGCACTTCAGTTTGCTCTTTGGTGTCGGTGTTTAATTTTGATCAACATTGACGATGCAGAATCTAGTGGCAGTAGAAACAGAGAGATGATCAGTCGGGGTTTTCCATCTTTTTCTGAAAGGAAATATGAACATGGTGGTGGTGCAAGGGAGAGATCTGGTTCTGGTGGAACCAAAAAAGTAATCAGGATCAACATAGAATAGAAGGCGATGGAAGAGATCTTGGCATAGTTGATGGAAGTAGAATCTTCTCTCTTTTGAGGGATGATAGTTTTATGTTATATAGGTTGCTTTTTGCAAATTCAAACATTTAGTTCATTTACTGTAGTTTAGTTCATATAGTGTAGTTCCTACTTAAAACATTCAAGGATAGTGGTGGTTATACAGTATCGAAGTGGTCTAGACTACAGATATGGGATAAGGGTGCCTGTACAAGTTAGTGTAGTTAGTGTATTGTATTATTCCTGTTACAAATGGTTTAATGTTCGAAGGTTTTAATTTCCATTTAGACCTTTTTAACTGATAAAAAATAATGTTCACTTTCAAAGCTTTACAAATAGACGATAATTTTTTTAAAAAACTTTTAAATTTTTATAATAAAATTTATAGACATATTTTTATTAACTTGGATTATAAGAAGAAAAAAACCCGTCATTTTCAAGTGTAAAAAACGTGGTTTAAAAAACAATAATACTCTCGAAATTCTTGTAAATTAAAATGAGATAAAAAACACTATACAAATAAATTATGTAAATTGAATTTAATATTATGTACGGGTGGAAACTTTTAAATTTTAGTAAATCTATAATTTTATATAACTTTAAATTTTTTTTAAAAAGAATTATTGATGGGCTGGCCCAGAGGCCCAGCCCAGAATGCAGTGCAAATTTACCGATCAAAATTATCAAAACCCTAATAGCAGGGATTGTTAGGCAGTGTTTCAGCAAAGGAGCCGGCGAAGTTGTAGTTCAACCTTAGAGGATCAGAATCAGTTTCTTATCCACGCGCCGTCGCAATGGGTCGTATGCATAGTCGAGGGTTCGCCTTTACTTTCAGTGAACAAATCTTGCGTTTAAGCTTCATCGGAAAATCTGTTTATACATCCCTAATAACTCTTTTTTACTCTATTTATTTCTATTTTCAGTAAGGGTATTTCAGCTTCGGCACTGCCTTACAAAAGGACGCCGCCAAGTTGGCTGAAGATCTCTTCTCAGGATGTGAGAATTCCTCTCCCAAGTTCTTAACTTTTTTTTTTTTTTTTTTGTTGGATTGGGCTTCGACCTTCTAATTGATTTGAAATAGAAAACTATGGAATGGAAAATGTGCGGTAAAATGTAGATTTCATCTAATTCTATTATGTTATGGAGCCTTTCAATCACGAGTTAATATCGAGGTTTTCAATGTTTTTATGATGATTGAGTTTCGTGATCTTTCAGTAATTGAGCAGGAAAATGTCATAGGTTATTATTATTGATCACGAAGGTAGCTCCTGTAAGATTGTTTGTGTGATTGGCAAATAATTGAAATTGCAGTCGTTAATTTGGTGGGGGCATGGTGATGTGTTTTTTAGTGCATCTGAGTGCCAAATTTGATGGTTATTCTCTTGTATATCTAAGAAAACTGATCAATTTCTTCCCTGGAATGCCATTTTAGATGTTAGTCATTCGAAATGAAGGGAGGTTAATTTCTGTACTATCTGTAGAAATTGATGTCTTTTCTTTTGCCATTCAGGTTGCCGAGAACATTTGCAAATTTGCCAAGAAGGGTTTGACACCATCTCAAATTGGTGTTATTCTCCGTGATTCTCACGGGATTGCTCAGGTCAAAAGTGTAACTGGGAGTAAGATTTTGCGCATATTGAAGGCTCATGGTGAGCCCTATCTACCCTTTCTCCACCAATTTTCTTCTCTTTTATACTATAGTTAGAATTATTTTGTGATTTATATGTCCATTTTTTCTTTCTCGGCTCAGGGCTAGCTCCTGAAATACCGGAGGATCTTTACCATCTCATCAAGAAAGCTGTTTCGATCAGAAAGCATTTGGAAAGGAACAGGAAAGACAAGGATTCCAAATTCAGGTTGATTTTGGTGGAGAGCAGGATCCATCGCCTTGCCCGGTATTACAAGAAGACTAAGAAGCTCCCTCCCGTGTGGAAATAGTAAGTATTTTAAGGCACAGAATAACATAAATTATTTAGTATCTTCACTTTTGCATGAAAAAGTCGCATAGCTTACGTTAAATTCATATTCTCACATGCTGCTGATCTTTAGCTTTTAAACTCTGTCTAATTCTGGGAAGATACGGTTAAAAGAGAAATTGCGTTAAGATGATAGCTAGTGGACACCTGTTTGGTTTCCTTATCAAAACAGTACCTGAATTTTTCTTCTTTTTTGTCTCTGTATTTTTGTTTTGAGTTCAACAAATGGGGATGGTGGGGATTAATTTAATTTTAGGGGGACGTATAGGTGCGTGGCACCAACTAGATTTATCTCATAAAACATGGACTAAAATGTAGCATTGTAACGGTTCAATACTCGTAGCATGTTGGATTGCCAAACTGCAAAGTGTATGTAGAGAGTTGCATCTAGATTCTAGACTCTAGACTCGAGAATATATAACGTGGTGTCCATTATTTGCATTATGCTCATAGCCCACTCCCTTTATCTCCTTAAGAAGTGAAAACAATAAGTTATTAACTTTTAGGTTCGTACCTGAAATCTTAAGTGTGTATCTCCAAACATCTCAAATTCTTACCATTAGGACGAGGACAACTTTGATAGTCTTCGCGAAATGTTGAAGAACATATTCAATTTTGTTGGTTTGTGATCTTTTCTTCAATGCCGAGCTGTCTAATTGAATGTGGATGTCATTTTTTTACAGTGAATCCACCACAGCCAGCACCCTTGTGGCTTAGAAGCAAGCTTTTGGTGATGACTAAGAGAAAGCAAGGAGTTATTTTGGCGATTCAACTTTCCATTAAGAACCATGTTTAATATTTTATCAGTAACTCACTTCGGCAGTTATCCATCTTGTACCTCACTTTGGATTCATTATTGCAAATTTGATTTCTGCAATGCTTTTGTGAATGACTTTGCCTGTTGAATGGCTCGTATGGGTGCAAGTTTTAAGTGGTTCGAATTTAGCTCAAATTTTTAATTGAAATTAGTGATCTTGAAATTGATCAATGGAAAATAACTAATCGACCTGAAACAGTTCGAAATTTTTCTATTCGACTCCAAAAACATCGAGATGGTTTTTCTTTATGAAACACTGTTTGTAATTGAAATAAGAGTACATTTTTAGTTGAGCCTTTAATGTTACAAAATTTAATTACACTCTTAGTTCTGATGAAGTTTTTTTCAGATCTTCCCTCTCCTTTCTCATAATGGAAATGGGCTACACAATTCTCTCACTGTATATGCAAGTGTAAGCTGGGACACTGTTATTTTAAAACAATACTTTCAAGATATGGCCATGATTTACCAAATGCAACGCTAAAATTAACAGCAGGCCACCGAGATGGCGAGTAGAAGTAAAACCGACTAACGTTACATCAACTACAAGAACAATCTTCCTACCAGCAAATATTGTACTTGCACATGATGCAATCCCAAAGCTGAGTTACAATTCAGAAGGGTAAGTATAAGATGGGCATCATTCCATGAATGAAAGTTGCATTACAAACATAAAGAAAATGGGCGGGACTCATCTGAACCGACGAATCAAAAATTTTCTGCCCACCAATTCTGATTCATTAATGCACCAAATATTCATTACCGTCTCTCCCAGATTATGTAATAAGCTAAAAGTCGTCGTCATCTTCTTCAGCTATGTGCTTTGCAAGTTCTTGCTCCTGCTGTTGTCTCTCTCTCCTTTTCTCAGCGCTTTCTTTTTCTTTGTGTGAATTTGGTGGAAACCGAAGGGCACGAACTGCTTCATTATGCATATTCAGGCAAAATGCAATTCTCGAGTTGAAAGCCATCTGAGGTTCGTTGGTTGAGTAGATATCACCAGTCTCCTTCGATACCATCCATCCATTCGCATGGTCGACAGTTGCATCGATTGCTCCATCTCGGATTGCCTTCGAGACAATACTCTCAGCATCAGCAACAGGATTTGGGGAGTCCAACCTAAGCTTTTTAGCAACATCAACCAGAGAAATACGCGAATAAGAAATGCTAATGTTGCGAAGCCCAGTCCTAATGACATTATGTCGCAGCCTCACGATCAAGTTGTTGGTTCGATCTGAGCTGAAAGTACTGGAGAACTTCTCAGCAACAGTTCTGAAAAGCTCCAAGTCACCAATTCTCACAGCCTGAAAAAAAAAACATTGGTAACAATACATTAAGAAAAAGTATAATAAACTGGAATCACACTGCCATTATCTTGACTTGATCATGAACTTGGGAAAATTCGAAACCAAAATTAACACTTAAGCCAAAGATATCCCCCCTATGTTAACCCTCCATTCATGTAATTACCTATACTATCAGCAACTAACATATGGGTCCCACTAACAAGATTCCCTACATTACCACAACATTTCCGCTTCCCTCATCCTCACCTTTTTAAGAAACAAATATTTCATTTTTTGTTAGAGAAAAAAGAAATGATTCCATACAAACTTTAAACTTAATGGAAGAAAATAACTGGAAAGTATCGAAAAATTACATTTGTAAGTTCAAAGTATGGCCTCAGAGCTGTCTCCATGCCTTTCTGCATGAAAACGGTCCTCTCAGGGATTTCTCCTAGCAGCAACCGAACAATGATTGCCCATTTGTTGCATTGCACTCGAAATCCAAGCGCTGCAATGGGTGCTTTCCGAGCAGCTTGTAGAAGAGACTCCTTTGCATCTGTATACTCCAGCTGAATGGTCCTGATCTTGCCAAGGTAGAATAGGTACCTACAGAACTGTAATAACCAATCTTTATGAGATATCTAGCATTGTAGCTTATAACTGAAGTTCTAATATTAAGAAAGGCGAGAAATTCTACCTCAGAAAAACACCCCTACAATATCAAATATGATGCTTAGATTCTTATGAATTCACATACTACACAACTGCTATATTCTAAAACTTCATGAGCATATGGCTAATCATGTCAACTTTAGCAACTTCAACATCGAGTTACCTAAGGGTGCATTTAGTTTGTTATCTGAAAAAATTAACTTGAAAATAGGGGATTCAACGAAGAAGAAAGTTATCTTTTACATTTTCAGTGTTTTCAAATATATGTTTAGTTGAAGATTTGGAAACTGGACCCCAATTTAATCAGTT